TTGGCTATCACCTTCACCTTACAGCAAGAAGGTCGCTGGTTCTAGTCCCCTCTGGGTCAGTTGGCATTTCTGTGTAAAGTTTGCATGTTCTTCCCTTGTTCATGTGGGTTTTCTCCAGGTGCTTTGGTTTCCCCCACAGTCCAGAGACATGCGCTATAAGTGAATTGAATAAACTAAATTGGCCATAGTGTATGAGTGTATGTGAATGAGTGTGTATGGGTGTTTCCCAATACTGGGTTGCGGATGGAAGGACACCCGCTGAGTAGAACATATGCTTTAACAGATGGCAGTTCATTCTGCAGTGGTGAACCTCTGAAATAGAGACTAAGCCGAAGGAAATTGAATGAATGAATAAGTAATTTGGTCTTACCCATCCAGCTGGTTTTGTAGCGTGGGTCTCCATCATTCCAAACTGGGAACCGCTTTGTATTCAGTGTCTGATACTGATTGAATCGGGAATTGGAGTTGCTTCGGTCAGCTTGTCCTTAAGTATAGAAGCATAATCAGAAAATCACTATGAGGTCAACTATAGAGAAAGTGCACTGAAACACTCGCTCAGTCACAAGATGAAAGTCTTTGATTGGTTGGTGGAGCGAGTGAGAGGCGGGGCATGAGAGCAGATCTAAATCCTGTGCATGTGACGGTCAGCTGTATGGGGGATCAGATTTTTGGCTTCATTAAAGACCATATGAAAGATGGCTTGCTCTCTGAATAAAGCGCATAAGCTAGCATAACTCAACATTTGAATGCAATGCTACTGAAACCTATAAACGGATAGTGCTGTGCAAGACAAAACCATTATTGCTCATTATTTTTATTAAGCTATAACAAAAGTAATGCACTTAGAGACATTCATTAAAAAAAAAACTTGTAAGACGTTTTGATTATAAGCTAATATGAGCAGGTCGAGGAGATCAGGATGTGGTCATGCCGTATTAAATCTGCCCCTAGGGAATTTAAGGAATTGTAGATGGGCAGGTTTAAACTAAATGACCATTCATCCACACAGAACTATCAAGCCGAGGCACTGAAATATCCTCCAGCAACACTATTAATGCTTAACTTTTTTCTTTTGACTTTAATGATGTCCAAAACTATTTTCAATGTAGTTAAATATCAAATAAGCCAATACACAACAACTTTCCAATAATCAAACACACAACAATATGATGTAAACTACAAAGACATGGATATTCAATCATTTTAATCTAATATACACCTATATAAATAATAAGGAAACAGTGTTTACTTACTTGTTAATCCCCCGGACAAACTGGATAATATGAATATTGTAGAGAATAGCTTCATTGTGTCACTTTGTTGGCACTTTAAAGACTTTCAGCTCCACAGGCATGACTCTTTATAAAGCCACGTCTGAACGGCTCCTCCCATCACCTAATACCATTCTCTCTCTCTCTCTCTCTCTCTCTCTCTCTCACACACACACCTGCAATATTCTCTGATAATCCTGAGCAAGATTTTATGATGAATTAATAATTGCGCAAATTACATGAATTGATTGCACTAAATTAAAATTCGCAGCTGTCAGTTAAAGGAATAAAAAATGTATAAACTTTTGTAGATGCACAAAACATTTTTTTAAATCTCTGTTGTCGATGTGGTTGTATTTAATAGCTGCAGAAATGTCTTGATAATGCATTTTTTTTGTACTGAAATGTATTGTAATGCTCTTTTTGTTGTACTTTCCTCATGTGCAATCAAGCTTTCACAACTGCAGAAGTACATGCCCTCCAGAAGCAAATGCAGCCTGTCTGTATCACAGAAAAAAACAAGTTTTCCAGAACTTTCTCTCTAACTGTTCCTTGCTTGTGAACTGATCCTCCGTACAATCAAGTAAATGCTCAAATAAGTGTTCATGGACGATTTTTTAGGATCTTGAGTGTTATCAGGGCTTCATTTGAGATGGATTTGGGAATGCTTGGATATTCCACCAAGCAGGGATTAGATAATGAGAAGATTCTGCAACATGTTTTGTTTTTATCTTCCTGCAGGATGCAGGTAAGACTGGATTTCAGCTGTCACCTTGGGTGTTTTAATTGAGGTAAAATTAGTTTTATATTCGCACATTCTTTCAGTGACAGCTCCATACATTGTTTACCATGGTACTTTGAATATTATAACTGAAATCACAAGTAAGTATGAAACAACATTAGCAATATTTAATTAACTGTGAACAATGTTGTACTTTGAAGGATTAGAGGGCTGCTAAAATGATTTAACTAAATTTAGAATTTGCAATGAATACTTTTCTGAAATTATATTATTAAGCAGTAAGTCTGAATGTCCAAATATAAAACCAACGTTAGCTCAATTAAAAACACTCAAGGGACAGCTGAAACCCAGTCTTACCTGCATCCTGCAGGAGGGTGAAAACAAAGCAATTTTCAGAACCTTCTCATTACACTGATCCCTGCTTGGTGGAATAATCTTCCCAAATCCCTCTGAAATGAAGCCCTGATAACACTCAAGATCCTAAAAAATCGTCCATGAACACTTACCTGTAACACACTAAGAAGAAAACTTAAGCAGGATTTCCAGAGCTAAAATCTTACCTCATGTTTGTTCTTAACATTCCCGGGCAAGTAAAATATTAGTCTAACATTTCAATTTACAGTAGTACTGGTTTGACCTATTGAAATAAATTAATGAAAAATATTGCAGTCTTAAGTCATTCTTTCCCCCAGGGTTTGCTGTTGTTTACATCCCAGACGAGTGAGGCGGGTATGACCACATGTAGGCGCAAACCACTGGAAATCCAGAACCTTCGCGTTCATGGTTCCTTGCAGGTGGAATGATCTCCATCCGGAAAAAAATTAAATAAACTTAAAAATATTTACAGATGACAGAGATACGTCAATCTTTCACGTGCAAACTACTGAGAAAAAAGAAAGAAAAAACAAGAAAAATCTTCCCAACCCTCCCTGGAAAAAAGACAAATCCCTGAAAATGTATATTCGGTGAGATTTTAGCTGCATATAGGCCTAGGTTACTAAACATGTGCATTGGCTTTTTCCTAATTCCTCCTTGTTTTAGCTTGTAATTAAAAAAGTGTATGTGTAATATTAAAAACCAAACAATTTATTATTACATAAATTTGTATTTTTGTTTATTTATCTTAATCAATCGCTTGTAGTGCTCATCATTTGTAAAACGCTTTGAATAACCGTCTAATTAAGTCCATTTTAAGCCCTAAACGTAAAGATTCTCATCTCAAATATAACCTAATTCAACAAGTTTTTTTTTTTTTTTTTTTTTTGCTATTAATAAAAGCTGCTTTTGTTTAAGACTGCAAACGGTTGATTTGACATCTTGGGCTTATTTTTACTTTGAGGGTCACATTAAGATTACAGGCTCTTTTCCAAGCTGAGCTTCTTCTAATGAGGAATGAAGCTGGAAAGTGTTTTCATGTGATATCAGTGGAGCTGGACATCTGACAAGCTTTGTTTCTTAACCGGGTCAGTGGTCATATGCACCTTACACCTATTTTTATGAACATTTTTATGACCCCCGCCCCTTCCATCATACAAAAAAAAAAAAAAAACTGTTATGGTGCTTGCATGCATGTGTTAACTTTGCTGTGTAATGCAAACTAAGAGGAAATTGTGTCAGATTTACTATATGCGGCTGGTACAGAATCAGAGCCAGATCAAGAATGGCTGACTGTAAGAACAATGGAGTCTGTTCATTCACTCTGAACACAGCAAGAATCCTGTACAGTCTCTGAATACTAATGCACAGAGGTTAATGGGTGCATCTGAGCACTTTTTTTGGTGAAAATGAGATATAAATATTACAATATAAATATCATTGTTTTAAAAAATACATTGCAATAATAATGATGATGGGGAAATGCTCTTAAAGGGATAGTTCACCCAAAAATTTTATTTACTCACCATTTGCTCTCTCAAGTGGTTCCAAACCTTTACAGGTTTCTTTGTTCTGTTGAACAGAAAAATATATATTTTGAAGAAAGCTGAAAATATATAAAACAAGTACACTACTTGACAAAAGTCTTGTCGTTGATTCCAGTTGTAATAGCATTAAATAATAGCTTGACTTCTGGTTGATCATTTTGAAAAGTGGCAGAAGCTAGATTTTTCCAATGAATCATCTGTTGGACTGCATCCCAATCACCACAAATACTGCATTAGACCTATTGGAACCCACACGGACCCAAGATTCACAGAGAAAACAGTCAAGTTTGGTAAAGGAAAAATCATGGTTTGGGTTACATTCAGAATGGTGGTGTGCGAGAGATCTGCAGAGTGGATGGCAACATCAACAGCCTGAGGTATCGAGACATTTGTTCTGCCTATTACATTACAAACCACAGGAGAGGGCAAATTCTTCAGCAGGTTAGTGCTCTTTCTCATACTTCAGCCTCCACATCAAAGTTTATGAAAGCAAAGAAGGTCAAGGTGCACCAGGATTGGCCAGCCCAGTCACCAGACATGAACCTTATTGAGCATGTCTGGAATAAGATGAAGCAGGTATTAAAGATGAATCCAAAGAATCTTGATAAACTCTGGGAGTCCAGCAAGAACACTGTTTTTTTGCCATTCCAGGTGACTTTGCAGAGATGCATAGATGCAGTGCTCCAAGCTCATGGGAGTCAAACACAATATTAACTTATTTTCCACTGCACCATGACTTTATTTCTATACTGTACATTATTTCTGTTAAGTGACAAGACTTTTGTCTAAGCAAAGCCAGACCTTACTGTCCAAACTCAAAAAATCAAGGCATGATCATGTTTTATTTTGGTACAATAAGCGTAATCTAGAGGCCTTTGCCTTTTATATAAGCCACTTCTGATACCAAATGATCAACTAGAAGTCAAGTTATTATTCCTAAAACTTGGATAGGCGCATGTTTTCAGCACTTTAAAAATATCTTTTGTCTTCAACAGGAGAAACTCATAAAAGTTTAAAGCAAGTAAAATTGAGTAAATGACAGTATACATTTTTAAAATTAATTTAATCATTAAAAATAAAAGCCTAATTATTAAATCTGCTTCAGCTTCATTAACAATTGCGCAAAACTTAAAACATGTTAAAAAAACAACTTCATATTAAAATCCAAATGAATCCAGATAATGTTCAATGTTATACGTGCAAATAAAACAATAAATCCATTACAGCTAGACCAAAAAAAAAAAAAAAAATGTCTGGAATGGAAAGTTAATCAGGATTACAGCAGCACTTGTGACTTCTTGGTTTACCCGGATTTTAGCTTTTTGGCATCCTTTAAATAAAAAAACCATAATCAGATTTTCATTCTCTAAACAGTCACATTTAACATTCCTGGGTTTTATTCTCGTATCTCTTTATTCCAGCACTGAATTCAAAGGCAAACCATGAAGGTGTTGACATCAGGTGGAAGCAAAACTGGTCAATTTCTGTCTTATAAAAATCTGAAAAGTGGAATTTACTGCAAGAAGAAGAAGCATGAGTAGAACGTCTGTCACATTATAACAATTTACACTGCAATCGGTAAGAAAAACACCCACAAGTTATGTTTCTCATAAAACATTACTGTACATCAACCACATTTATAAAAAGGAACAGAGTTCACAATAAAATGCAAACCTTAACTTCTGACAAGAAACACCCCGACAGTTCAATTCAAAACCTGAGAGTTCATGTGGTACCACTAAAACAGAGAAGAACAAACAAAAAAAACAGTATATACATTTGATAAAACGCTATATTCTTGAGACGGAGGTACACAGAAAATACAGTGGTGACATGAATTGCATTCGACCCACAAAAACGCCTTCAGTCTTACCAAATCAAGCAAACGCCAAAACTAAAACATGATGATAAACCTTCAGATCCTGTTTAAAACAGGAACAGGGAACAAGGAGTGCATTGTATAGGGAAAATATATATATAGATATATATGGCAAAACTGTGAAATACAGATCTTTCATAGCTTATAGTGTGTTTTATATTATTTCACAACGTTCCTGTGTCCTCATCATCAACAGGCACGATCAGGAAAACGACTGAAGTATGGAGGAATCCCTGCTAACATTTTAATAAGAAAACGCACAACATTTATTAAAGTAAAATTTCATGCTTCCATATTTTGTCGTTGTCTGTATATCGATTAATGAAAGTCATGCCGTTGATTCAGTTACACAGAATGCGAACCATAGTAATCTGCCTTACTGTGTGCTATTAATGACATACCAAAACATAATCAAGCAAGATATGGATATGAAAACACAAAACCAAATGATTGGCTTAGAATATTCAACGCTCATCAGATTGGACTGTCTATTAGCCACCAAAATGAGCACGATAGAGTTAGGCCAAAGAAAAAATAAAGACATCTTACAACTAATAAACATGGACATGCTCTTTTTGAAGATTTCAAACAGACAAATAACAAATGTGAACCCAGAGGAACATTGTTACGCCATATTTAAAGAGATAGTTCAGCTAAAAATGAAGATATTTTAAAAAATTGTTACACTTTAAATATCAAAACCCAAGTGATGTACACTTTAAAACAAACAAAAAAAAAGTCCATTAATAGGTTCTCTATTGATGTGTTCAATTTATTTATGGTTATGAATTGCATTATTAAATTTATCGATCTCTGCTGTCGAGTTTTGATGTTAAAAATTTAAGTCTAGGATTCAACAAAGGGATTTTAGTATATTGAAATAAAATACTGTATTAGACATAATATATAAACATATATTTAGACAGATATATGTATAATAGAAAAAAATAGAGATGGAAATAAGTCTGTAAAATAACAGAATTCTGGCAGTTTATCACCAGGTTTTTCTACTGTAGTTTATAACAGCAATCCAGACAATATGTAACTTCAAACTAGGGCTGCACAATATATCATTTCATCATTGATATCTCATTGTGATCATACGCAAGTCACATCGTGAGCATCACAATGTTGAGTCTGGATTATAATTCAGCATTTGCATGTGTTTTAGATGCCTGTGATTGTATAGCATTCAGGCATAATAAATTGTGTCATTTGTGACTTTAATAGCGATTAATTTTATTGAATTATTTTATCTGTACTTGAATACTGTTAGAAATACTTTGTCAATTGTATCTCTTTCTTGATTGTATTTATAGATTGCTATGCATGAAGATCCTCACAACACATGCAAATACAGAAATGCAATGCAAATGGCAGACCACATCGAAAATGTGTCAGGAAACCCCAAAAAGTTTATAGATTGTTTATTAGATTTTATGGAGAGGCACTCACACTGCCAAATCATCCTAATCGATCCAACAAATTCTTTCCAAATAGAGATACTCAAGTTATCTGGTAATATTTTATTCATATCGCGATATATATTACTGTTGTCACGATACTAAAATTCGTTACCAATCGGTACAGCAATTTAAAAAGCGTCCATTTCCCGCTAACATTTGAGCACGTTCTTAAACACCACTGATTGCCGTTGTGTTCACGCACTTAACAGTAATGACTATGATTGGCCACGAAGGTCATCAGTTCACCAAACTCACCTATGTTTACTGAGTTTAACCACAGATACAGGAACACTGGGGTGTTTTAAAGTCACATCAATCAGCTGGCTTTGTCTATGAGTGCTTATGAATCGCGGCTTTAAAACACTACAGTCACCCTGTATCTGTGGTTTCACTCAGTAAACAGCGGTGAGTTTGGTGAACTGATGACCTTCATGGGCAATCACAGCAATTTTTGTTGAGCTGAAATGTTCATGTGAAATGGAAGTTTTTGAAATGTCAGTACCGACTGGTACCACATTACAATATCGTGGCAACCCTAATATATCACAAAATAAAAAATATTGCAACGCTAGATTTGTCCAATATTGTGCAGTCCTACTTTAAACTATTAAAAACTTTTCAACATCACAAGTTGTTGAAGGAACAATCAAGCTACCATAATGCTATTCAAAAGCATAAACAAACTGAAGAAAAAACAAAAATTCACAAAAACACGTAAATCGGGGGGGTTATCTTTTGTCATGTGCATAAAATATTAAAAAGTGTTGATTAAACAATGACAATGATCAATTTCTGGTGAACTACCCCTTTAAATCATAGGTCTCAAACTGAATTCCTGGAGGGCCGCAGCTCTGCACAGTTTTGCTCAAACCCTGATCAAATACACCTGATCCAACTAATGGTGTTCATGACTCTTGTGAACACCTCAATTATTCGGATCAGCTGTGTTTGAAATGGGTTTGAGCCAAACTGAGTAGAGCTGCGGCCATCCAGGAATTCAGTTTGAGACCCTCATAGGTACAAAATGTTTTACTGTCGTGTTATTCTGCGTTAATCAAAAAATACATGAAAAAAATAAATCACTGACAAAACACACCAGTTCCACTAAAGACTGGTGGAAACATGTTTCATCAGATTACATTTCTGTCCATCAAAGGGTCTGAGAGGCCATTTACAAGTCAGTTACATTATAAAATGCCAAAAATAGACACATATGAGATAGCATTTGGGTTTGTGTTTAGAAAACAAGAACAGAAATAAAAGGGTGAAACCAGTTTAACAAACATGAATGGTCAGCATGCTCCCTAATGGCTCTACAAGTGTCAAGTTGAGGGTTTAAATGCAGGCATATAACAAACATGAACCTAAAAGACCATTTCAGACATTATATTTAAGACGATATTTCATCCAAAACAGATTTCTGAAGAATGCTGGGATCCAATAACCATCAAAGCCTAATGATTAAAACGTTTTAGCTAACTAAATGATGACAATATTAATTTTCGGATGAAGTATCCCTATAAAACAAAGGTCTCACATTCGATGGCAGGAGAGCTGCAGCTCAGCAGTTATGCTTCAGCCCTGATCAAACACTTAATCCAACTAATCAAGGTGTCCATGACTCTTTTGAACACCTCGATTATTTGGATCAGCTGTGTTTGATTAGTGTTGGAGCAAAACTGGAGCTGTGGCCCTCCAGGCATCAAGTTTAAGACCTATGCTATAGAATATAGGTACGCTGAACTAAAGTATCAAGTTCAATATGAATCATTCATAAATACAGAAAGAATGAATGTGATTTGTAAATAAACCAATATTCGTCACACTTCTTGTACTTTCAATCATTTCTGTCCATCACAGATTCATTTAAGTCTGAGGGCCATTTATAGGTCAGTTACATTAGGATAAAACTGTCTATACATGAAAAAAACTGAACTGAAATAAATAAAAGGATGTAGAGAGTACAACATACTGCTGTGTATAGTGTATTATAAATGAGTGTGATATTCTACAACCATTTAAAACAATGACTGCATCTGCCTCGGAGGCTAGAACTGTAAGTCTAGTGAACATACCTTCCAAAAAACGACTTGCTTAATTTTTTTTTTTTTTTAGGTTTTTTTCTTTTAAATAGTCGTCAATTTTCACCATTAATAGAAGTTGAAAGCAAAAATATTTACCAAACAAAACAAAAATGAAACTATTCGTGAATTTAGGAACACATTATGATGCGAATATTGGTGATTTGTGTTTGTGTGCGTGTCCATTTCTCATGACACACATCAAGTAAATACAGACTGGGAAGTAGGTTTACTTACAACAGTATAAAAATAAATCCAGATCTCGTCTGGAGACGCATTCAAGCAACGACTGCTAATAACTATGGATTTAAAAGGCTAATAATAAATACCATACTCCATAAAAAAGACACATATATATTGTTAGCGAACATTTTCCATTTTTGCATTCAAGGTTACACTTTTTTTTTTTTAAAGAGGACCGCGAGTCCCTCTCATTCAGTAATACATTACCCTTAATTCCATTATGCTTTTCTGTTAGCGCGGATATAAAAGTGAACGACATCAAAAAATAGTAGTATGTACAATTATTTTTTTTCTCGTTTCAATAAATAACATTTTTGCCTTTTTTTTGCAATATTTTGTTCTACTTTAACATTATTGCCACAGATGGGGTGTTGTGAACGTACTCGCTTGCGCACGCACACACACACAAAGACGCAAGACAACATTAGGGCTTTTTTTGCCTTACATTACTCTGCTGTCAAACGCGACATCACACTAAAGTTAGACGCACACAGGACTCCCGAAAGCACTGATTTGATCAGCGTGTGTGGACGGATGATGCGAGGGCGCTTTATTTGGGCAATGGAGGCAGAGGTGGAGGTGGTTCTGAGGGTAAAGGTGGCGGCTGTGCTCCTCCGCGAGCGCCACTGCTATAGCGAAACTCTCCGTACTGAGAGCGGTAGTCAAATATCTGAGGTTGTGCCGGCTGGACGCCCTGCGCACTGAGCAGCGAGTTCAACATGTCAAACGTGTCCTGGTACTCGTTCGACTGTCCGGCCGCGTTGTGACCGTTTGTATCCGCTTTGTCCGTCTTGGAGTGCGAATAGTTTCCCTGATGGTGCAGCGAGGGAAGGATGTCGGGCATCACATGAGACGGCAATCCAGGGAGCGTGGGCAACTGAAATGAGTTTCTGGACGATTTGCTGACTTTTGAGGACGAGTGGGTGCTGGAGGAGGAAGGGTCTGGCATGTGGGTTCGTTTTCGCGACATTGATGAAGAGCTCGTCCGCACTGAATCACCTGAGAGCTTTTTGCTACTTCCTGAAGAGCCGGCTGAGTGTTTTTGTGCTGAGGATGAGGAAGACGATGCTGAGAGGGAACCGGCGCTGGAGGAGGAAGAGTGGTGGTGGTGGTGGTGATGATGGTGGTGGTGGTTGGATCGCTCTCTGTGTTTTTCGCGACTTTTCCCGTCTTCTCCAGATCCGCCTCGCCTGTCTGGAACCCGAATGCGCACTTTGATGTCCTGGTCTGATCCCCGGCTGCTGCTGCCACTGCTGTGGCTGTGACCCCCGCCGGATTGACCTGGCAAGTTCAAGTTTGGCACATCAGCAACACATGGATATTTCATGGCAAGATTAATGTACAGTTGAAGTCAAATTATTAGCCCTGCTGTGATTTTTTTTCCTTTTTCAAATTCCCAAATGATGTTTTACAAGGCAAAGAATTTTTCACAGTATTAGGCTTGAATAAAAGCAGCTTTTAATTTTGTTGAAACCATTTTAAGGTCAATATTATTAGCCCCCTTAAGCAATATTTATTTTTTGATTGTCTGTCTAATTAACCCAATTTGCCTAGTTAACCTAGTTAAATGGAACGTTAAGCTAAATATTAGAGTCTTGAAAAATAACTAGTAAAATATTAATATTGTCATCATGGCAAAGATAACAGAAATCAGTTAATATAAATGAGTTATTAAAACAATTATGTTTAGAAATGTGTTAAAAACCTGGGGGGGGGGGGTATACAGAGGGGGGCTAATAATTCAACTTCAACTGTAGATAAAAAACATATCACACAATAACTTTAAAAACAGCATCATATTTCAATAAGAGATCATGCAAGATAAATAAAATGACAAATAATTACATTAAAGTACAAATTTACATTAAATACAAGCTATAATGTTTCAGGTAAACTTTTGATAACTTAAAATTCATCCTGGGATAAGGGGGGAAATTATTGAATGTAATGGGATTATTGTTGTCAAACAGGCAATGACGAAGACCCAATCCAAATTCTACCCCTTAGCCCTTGCCCCTCGTTTTGCGCATTCACGTGAATGGGTAGGGATGTCCCAATTCTTTTTAGCTTGAAGGCATAGGGCTAAGAGGAAGGCGTAGATACCCCTTCGAAAGGAGTTTTTCCAGGACCACACTTGAAACCAAGAGGTAAGAAACACAACGGCTGGTGTACGTTTCAAAGTCATCTGATTTATCATGTCTTCAGTTTATAAGCACAAAGCCACTCTTCACCTGAGCAAACTATTCCTTTCTAGCTGCTGCTTCTCATGATCAAAGTGCTCGTCATGCGTTTGTGGTTTCATTGACAGGATTTCATCATATTTCTAACATTATTTTTAAAAACTGATCAATTTTTTTTCCATTATATGCATTTTGGCCATGCCTCGCCCATAATTAATTGATTAATGTTTTTGTTTGTTTTTTTTAAACCTATCGATGATCGAAATGAATTTTTTTCCAAAATGACAGTGGTTAAACATTGGTGGTACATCATTCTTCAATAAATACAAACAAGACGACTGACCTGGCACAGGTAAGCGCATTTTTATGGAACTTCTCTCCGATCGCTCATCCAGCGGGATCTTCAAGACGATTGGGGATGGGTTGTTGGTGTCTGAGGAGCTGGTCTGCTGGTGGTGATGGTGTTTATCTTTCCTCTGCTGGTTCATTAGGGCCTGGGCGGCAGTGGCGTATCCCTGCTTCACACTTGCCTCCATGTTCTTCAGCTCCCTCTTCTGTGCCGCCAACTCATCCGCATGTTTGGCCCGATACTCGCTCAGAGAGACTTTGGCGGGTGCGTGGAGCTCGTTGGCAGTGGGCTGCTCTTTGCTGGGAGGCTGCCAGTGTTGAGCGGAGGCTGCGGCGCTGTGCTCGTCTGCACAAGAGTCCATGGAGGAACCGGTGGGCGGAGCGGAGAGGCTCGTCAGTCCTGCCAATGTGCTGTCGGACGACGACATTGAGATCATGTTCATGATGGCTTCAGACTGATCGCCATCCTGCACTTTCGATTTCTTAGCAGTTTGACCTGCAGCCTGAGGAGCAACAAACGAGGAAACATTAGAAAGATGCATTTGGAGTGTTAAAATACAGTACAGAAGTATGCGCTGAGTTTTTAAGGAAAGTAACTAACTTGCTATGAAATATTCCTGACAAGTAGTCAACATTTGAAGTGGATCAAAAAACTTTATAAAAATTGTCCTGTGGTACAATACTATTATACTAAATATAGTACTATTACACTGTACTATTATACTGTATTATAGTATTATTACTATATTACTATAGTATTAATATAACCATCAAGATATATTTAAATACATACAGTGCTTCCCACAGGTTTGAAATAAGCTTGTGGTGGTAGATAAGATTTTACCCGCAGCACATAAATAGTTAACTATATGCGACAAAAAACTATTGGATTTTAACACTATTTTTATTATTATCCATTTTAATCTTTTTTTTATTTTAATAATTTTAAAGTTTATAAATAAATAAAAAATACACTTTTTCTATTTTATGCTATTTAGGAGCCATGTGCACCAATTAACAGGTAAAAATCTACTTCTCTCTATCTCCCATTCAAGTTCAGGTTGCTTTATTGGCATGACAATTTGTACAGTATTGCCAAAGCATATTAGATGTATGCAATAATAAATTTATTGACATCTAATTAATAAAATATTTTATAATATACATAATAGAAACAAGGAATAAATACAGACAAAAATCTGTAAAATTCTCAGGTAATAAGTATATTATTTAAATAAGATAAATGAGTGTAAAAAAAATTCTAATGGTGTACAAATATTCTGCAACCAATTAAGATGTAATTTCATCCCCTGAGTATTTAGTAAAGTCATTATTATACCTAAAGTAAAGTCTATGTGTGGGAAGCACTGATGAAATTTCCTTGATGGAAAGATGACTGAGGGAGAGGAGGTCTATATATATATATATGTGTATGCACTGTATGTATCCTCAGCTGAAAAAAAACACACCAAAAATTCCTTATGTTTGCGTGCACAGCTTTAAAACTACTTTGATCAAAGGTTTTGATCTACTCAATTTCAACATTGATATTAATAATTAAGGTATAATAATTGTTTAAACAGTAGATTTCACTCTATTTAAGATCAAAATGTTTGTTTGCAGTATTTTAGTTTATTTTTTTACATTTTTAAAGATGTTCACAACTCTACTGATCCTTCACAAACGTCTAAACCGTACTTCCTATCCAATACAAAGAAGTTATCTGTAAATGAATGCAGAAATGGAGGCAAAGCTACTTACTTTCCAGTTTCTGGTGCGTTTTAAGCGGCTGGGTGTCTTTTCCAAGATCTGCAGGAACTCATGAGTGAGCTCTGTGAAATAAGAATTCATTTTTTTTTAGTATTTGGACAAAAAAAATACTCAATATTTATTAAATTTCTTCATAAAAAAGAAAAAGAAAAGAAAAAGAAAAAACAAACTAGATGTACATACCATCCAATAGCTCAAGAGTCACAGTGGGGTCAACATACTGCCACCAGTGTTTGCCATCTGTGGAAACGGGAATCTCCCAGTTGGACCATTTACAGGCCAGATGAATACAAACACAAGCTACAATTGGTGGACTGTACTGCAGACAGAACGTAGTCAAGTGAAGACTGAAAAAACACAAGAAAAAAACAAACATATATTTGAGAAACCATTAATAACCTTGTATTATTTAAAAAAAACAACCCAATATTGCATGTGACATTACTTCTAAATTCATTCAATTTGCCAGTTGAAGGTTAAACGTAAATATAACCTCACACTTCTTGCATACAGCAAATCGTGTACTTGACTTTGCTAGTTTACATATTCGGCAGCAAATGTATTAGAGTAGTAAGGTAATGGTCTTAAAAGCCGACATACCTGTTTGTTGCCATGAAATATGAAGTCTGAGCCAAATCCTTACTCGCTGGAACAATAAAAGGAAAGCTCATGATCAGACGTGAAATCTGTGAGCTTGGTGTGCTAGACGTACCCTTTACTGAGCAATACGAAGCACAGTTTAGAGTGAGCAGCTGGTTCTCACCTCGCACAAGCTGAGTACACTTGACAACATGTGTGTGAGGATGATCAATGGTGATCTCAAAACCTGAACGCAAGAGAGCAGATGAGAGAGAGAGAGAGACACTATTTTAGCTTTTCGTCTGAACTGTAATGGCTCCTCAGACATGAAGCCCCACACACAATATACAGGATGAGTGAGTGAATCACAAACATGGGTCTTCCAGTGCTTGAGCGGTCAGAAATCTGAGAAAGCTCCATGCAAGTGGCCTGTGGGGCAATTTGGTTATAGTCAAAACGCTCAGACCAAAACACCATTACGAACACGAGAACAGAATTTTCCAAAGTCAAAGCGAAATAAACACAATTGTGCACTTGAGGGTTATCATGATATGATGTAGGCAAGTATGATTACCAGTGAAATAATCAGTTTAATATAATATAAATAGTCCTTCATAAGAAAGGGTAAAGCTCATATGAATAAGCACTAGAATAAGGATAAATATTGGAAAACTGCACACTATAAAAAAAAAAGCTGAACAACAATTAAAATCATATTTTTCCAGTCAGAAAGATAAACTGTGATTTATCTTATAGACCATTTTAATATGGTGTATTTTAATACGGTGTATGTAATGTCATTGGCCCATTAACTTTTCCTGCTTGCTGTCAAACTATTTCATAACTGTAACTAGAGCCGATTTAATCATATCTTAACGTTAAAACAGCTGTCATAACATTATCAATGTGTGGACATTTCTGGATTTTTGGAAGCTATGGAAATTAAAAATGTAATACAGGAATTAAGTTAGGTCCATTGTTATAGTTTACATCACTCAAACTTATCTGTATATGGGTCGAAGACATCATCAGAATGTGTCCTGGTTATTTTAGAGCCAAAAATTTATCACAATTTTCAATGGCTTACAAAAGTCACCCATTAAAATGTCATTCAGTGTAACAGTTTATATGAAAAAAAAAACTTCATATAACCATATAAGAATCAACTGATGAAAGTTTTACACGAAACAGTACTTTTAAGGATCTCCATGCAGCTATAAAATGCTTTAATTTGGTAATCAGCAGTCCTATGACCCACTGGGTGTACAAAATTAGCATGTTACTTAATGACGATGGAGCAAGAGTTTTATTTTGACATTTATATATTAATATATTTGATTACTTATATATATATATATATATATATATATATATATATATATATAAGGGCTGCACGACATGGGAAAAATCTGATATTGCTATATTTCTGTGTTTCACAAGATAGTTTGAATAGCACTATTTGATGGTTATCTGGGAGTCTAATAGTATTCAGGTACAAAAATGAAATAATCACAATGCAAAAAAAGCTTTTCTTACTTTGCTTTGACTGATTTCTAATCCAAGCATCCAAAAATTCTTGGAGCATGCAAAAATATTGTATTGTCTTTAACTTAATTTAAGAGTTAAAGCAAGCTAAACTATCTGCCAGTGGGGCAAGTACAATAAACTTGCTTTCCTTTTGAAATGTAAATATTTGGACTGGAAACAAGACAAAAATTTGAAGCAAGAAAAACACTTTTTTGTTTGCAAAACTCATATAAATTCCATAGACATACAGTGATTAAATACAATTCTATAGTTTCTGTTCAACTATAATTCAGACTTAACATTGCAAATCTTGCGATGTGACTGTAGCGGATGCGCACATTGTGATATTGATAATGAAACAGTATATTGCTCAGCCCTAATATAAATATATACATAAGAAGATTCATTACTTGCATTTTGAAAATGTGTTTGATGTGCAGTAGTGGACTCCAAAATGGGACCTCTAGTCTTTGACCCATATATACTACAAAGATAAAACTATTAGTGACAAATATTATTTCCTGTCTTTGGCAGTCACACATTTTAACCAAGTAGTGCATTTGATTTTTTTTTGCACACAATAATGCATACAAGCTTTTTTTAAGCAGATTGAGGCTGATACTGGTATATTATTACCCTTAGTCCTTAGTGTAGTAGTCAAGATTATACTCTTAGCACAAAAATTAAAGCCTTTGTAAAACCACAGAAAGGGTGAGCGGCCAGATTGGCATGGTGATGATGCTCAATAGTCCTGTAGACTCCTGTGAATTATCAGTGAATGGGAACAAATGTGGTCATTGGTGCATCTCTCTAGCATGGTGATTCACTGACCCATTCTCTCCTTTCCAAACTTACCCAGGGTCTGGAGTATTATGCTCTCAAGAATGACCAGGTCTTGGGCTTGTTGCAGGTATGTCTGAGATTGAGAGGACAGGCAGGTTACTCACATGGTCTCTTGGTCAACGACTACACGCTCTCATCACATTACTACGACCCTGTTTTTGACCCAAGCCAATGAGCATCTTATCATACAACTTTACACCCATCGGCTCATCAACAAATGACATTGAGAGGCATATGAGTGAAACTAACAAAACAGAATGAGGATTACACATATCCAACCTAAAAAGAAAAAAAAACTGTAATCATTTAGGCAGAAAAAAGGATAGTATGTGGGTTATATGACCTGTTCAGAAGAAAAGCAATGTTACAGCTTCTGCTGCTTGTGATTAAAGGACATTTACATGACATTGATTCAACTCAGAAAACGTTTTATACATTTAGACCAGGGGTGTCAAACTCAATTCCTGGAGGGCCGAAGCCCTGCACAGTTTAGTTCCAACCCAGCTCCAACACACTTACCTGTAGGTTTCAAACAAGCCTGAAGGACTCAATTAGTTTGATCAGGTGTGTTTAATTAGGGTTGGAACTAAACTGTGCAGAGCTGCGGCTCTTTTGGAACTGAGTTTGACACCTGTGCTTTAGACAGTCTATTCGCATGCATACATACAGCTGCATACCAGCGGCCTGTAAACAGGTTTCAAGGTGCAAATTTTTGAAAAAGGTCAAATTATTACAATGCTTCCAACATGTAGACTTTACTTGGGTGGGCCGCCCAGCTATATTAACAGCCGCCCATGTATATTTGATGGTGACACACGAACAATACTATAATTTTATAATGCGTCCGGTCATAGTTTCTGAATCTCCCAAAATGTCAAGGACTCAGTTTTACTTTCGCTTTCAAAAGTAGCCGTTACTTGTATGCGTTTTTGCATTACCTTTTTGCAGCTGACTGCGCACACACAGCCACGAGAGAAACATTAAATGATTAATCATTTAATAAACGAATAGAACAAAATATACTGGCTGTAAAATATTTATACACCGTTAGAAATGTTTAATCAGCTAATCGACTGCCATATTTAAACAATCTACACTTTTTATTCTAGTAATTATTTTATATATTTTTGGCAATAATGTCTATTTTTTTGTATATGCAATTATTATTTTATATATATTTGATTAATTTAATGATGTAAATTTATTACATACTTTATACATATCTAAAATGCTCCGGCAATACTGTAAATGTCTTGCCAATAAAGAAACTTTAATGAGAAAGAGAGCAGCCTTTACCTGCCAGTGCGCACATGGCTCCTAAATAGTATAAACCTAAGAGAAAAAGTGGATTTCTTTTATTTCAACAGCCTTTATTCCAATAACTGTAACCTACTAACAGGAAAAGCCAAAAGTGTTGTGGGTAAAAGATTTTTCAATCCGGCTACCACCACAAGTATATTTGAAACCTGTAGGAAGCACTGTACTGTATCTGTGTAAATGACACAAACACAATTTACAGCATATTGACACTACATGTGCAATAGAATGTGTTCAATCTACTGCCATGTGTGAGTACAGCCAAATTAAAAATAACAGATGTGTAGTGCTTATTAAGTGACGATACAAAATACAGCAAGGGCTGGGCGATTAATCAAAAAGTAATCGAAATCAACATTCAGACACTATAATACATCTAATTTTTCCAGATCAGTTTTTTCTATTACTTTCCATACAACATGTGGAGCCACTCTGTTAAGGCTGATTTATACTTCTGCATCGAACGCACCTGTATGGTCCGGCATAGCCTTTGAGCGGTCATACTACACATCACACGTTTGCACTACACTGAGTATGATTGGAAGCTACGCCAGAGATGCCTTGAGACGACATATTTTCTACTAGAATAAAATTATTATTTGAATCAAAATATTTGTTTACCAAAAATGCAAGAAGTTAAAAAACGTATTTAATATAAAAGAATATAAAAGAGTTATTTAGGAGAGATACTGCTTATTTTCTACTTTTATTATGAAAAACATTGAAAATAATTAATTTTGTTTCCAACAGTGCAAGTTATTTATTTTCACATTGTCATAAGAAAAAAAGTGACTGTTAGTTTTAGACAGTGTGTGTTAAAATTTCAGCTGTTCAACGTTGATGTTCAATAAATAATCATAGATTGATAGTGTGTGTTTACTTTATTTTAAAATCAAGTGATGAACCCTTCATTCAGAAATCTCTCACCTGTAATATGTGAGCATTTAAATGAACAAAACTTGTCAGTGAACTATGAGGGCAAAAAAATGCAATAAATAAATAATTGTTGATTAATTGTAATCCAGTTGCAAATCGCCCAGCACTAAATACAGCATTTTTGATAATTTCCACAGTTCTTTGAAAACAAGTTCTTTAATTGTGATTGAACACTTCAAATAGGGATGCTCCGGTTGATTGGCTGGAGATCGATAACGGCCGATAATCACATTTCATGACTGGATCGGTAACCACTAAAACTGACCTCGTGGACGAATTAATTGATCACAGTAAGACTTTTTTTGGAACTTTCCAAATAGAGGAATCCGGGTTATACTTATTAATGCTACACGTAAGAACAGAAAATGATGCATATGGGGGTGGGTGATCACTGATTCTCCATTTCATCTGTTATTTTCTGTAAAACTGCTATAGCATAACATAGAAGACCAGCATTATATTTAAGAATAGATTTTAGAAATCAATCCTTAAGGCTGGTTTATACTTTGTTCTACGTCAAAGGTAGGACTGCATTATATTGGAAAACTTAATATTGTGATATTAGCAATATATACTGCGATATGAATACAATTTCACCAGATGGATTGAATAGATCTATTTAATGATTTTCTGGTACATAAATTTAATGATCACAATGCAAAAAATATTTTTCCAAATATCTATATTCTTAAATCAAAAAGCAAATATTGCAAAAATATCGTTTTTTTCCGCCAGAAATATCAAAATTAAGACATTTTTCCTTTAACAAGCAAAATAATCTGCCGGCAGGGTAAGTAAACAATATTGTAATACTTTTGGTTTGAAATTTGATATTTGAACCAGGCAAAAATTAAAAGTAATAAAAGCATTTTTTTGCAGAGCAATAGTAAAATAACACTGTATAGTCTTCATCATAAAAATAATAAAAATCTTTGTTACACCTCAAAATGTCAGAATATCTTGTATCCAACTCATTTTGAGCAAAACAACAACAACTTTGCAGAGACTCTACAATCACATGTGTTCTGTGTCTCCTGGTTAACTATAAATCTGACTCAACATTGCAGATCCGCACATTGTGATATCGATGCTGAAACGATATATTGTGCAGCCCTAGGTGAGTGCACGCAATTGGTCTGGCGCACACAGAGTCATACCCTTCGCTACTGCCAACCCTTAAATGCACCTCTCAAAAAAAACTTAACTACACGTTACGCCAATGCATAGTGCAAGATATGTGACCGCTTGGCTTGATAGCATTGATGATTGTGATCGGGGCAGAGAGTTGCAGGAGAGGAGCGAGCTCCTTGGCGTGAGTGTTTAACAAATATTGAGTCCCTGTGGAGAAGCTCTAGATGAAGATATTTGTTTTGTGTTTATGATTAAAGTTGTTACACGTAGGCATGGGACGATAACAGTTTTCAAGGTTACCGCGGTTTTAAAAGGTCAAGGTTTTAAAACCATCAAAATTTTCCTAAGAGATGTGTACGATTTCTTTTTTTACGTTTTTTTTGTTTGTTTTTTTAGGGCAACAGAATCTCCTGGTGAGAATATTTATCTGAAGACGCCATTTTAAATTGCTAAAAAATCTGTTTTTGAAGCAAATGAAGACAGCTCAAGTGAATAATTAATTTAGCATGACATGTTTACTGCACCAAAATATTTGAAATGTTTCTCAAAATAAAATATATTGTGTTCAAAAGTTTTTTACCCAGACATTACCCTAAAGAAAGAATAGATTTTAGAGCAGTAGTCACAATACAGTGATATTTTTACCCTAGGTTTTTATACCGTCAGAATCTTAGGCCCATGCTTAGTTCTGCTAGTTCTTAACCTCTGAATGAGTGAGTTTGAGCTACTTGTACAGTGAGTTTGCATTAAAAGTATTTCCAGTAAAAACAAAACACCCGTGAAGAAACTCGGCACAGAAAAATATAGAATCCCCCCTGCCAGCCTGCGTTTCGGTAGTGTTACAGTCAGCGCAACACTAACAGAAACCAGAAATATAAAAGCATGACTACATGCAAGATATGTGCCATGGGTTATGGCAATCCCTAATGCAGAAGTATAATTCAGCCTTAAAGTGTCATACTTGGGGAAAGGTGCTTTATGCAATGGCACAGGTAAACAAGCATCGGAATTGGTACTTGGTATCAGCCGATCATGACATTTTCGGTTGTATTGCCGGAGCAGCTCTTTTTTTTCAACGAAGGAAATAAATCTGATTTTAGTAGACCATTGTCATGTAAATGTACCTAAAATGGATATTTTGATTAGTCGATAGAAACTTGTCTGATCTGGTATCATGGAGTTATGAACTGTTGGTCAATTAAATAATTTAGATAAAACAACTACAAAATAGTTACATTCAGAAACAAAAATAGGTGAAAAAAACAGCACTCACTCAGGACTCTGAAAAATTAAAGCAAGTTCACTCCAAAGAACATTTTTTATTATCATTTACTTTAGTTTCAGTTTTTTAGTTTAGTTTTAAAATTTATAACTGAAACGAATTCAATGCCGTACAAAAAATGCAAAACTACATGCAACTAACCCTAAGCCAAAACTCTATTTCAAACCCTATAGTAAATACACAGTTGTTAACTTCCATCAGTCAATACTTAAATACAACTAAACTCTAACACCTTAAAATGAAGTGTACCCAAAAGATCAAGTAACATTTAAACAAATAACGTAGACAAAACCAATGTTTTTAAGGCCATAATCCATATACAGTACAGTATTACTTACATCACTCCTGGTGTCCGGTGATGGGTCCTGAGGATTGAGACATGCATGGGTCACCTTAATCACATGCTCCAGTTTACGGGGCTGTTCCTCCACCTTCGCTGCTAAAAACAGAGCTGCAGGAGCAATCACCTGAACAACACGGGACATAAAGAGGTTATTATCTTGTTCAATGCAGCCAGCATGTTTTATTTGAAACGCGTATATGAAAGAAGACACATACATTCCGGTGGAAGCGAGTAAAGGACTGGACCATGTAAAAGCGATGCATATACACAATGGCAGTGTTAATTGTGAGTTGTGAGCTGAGTGTCCAAAGTTAAGGATTGTAATTCATTAAAATAACAAAAATAAACAGTCTGAAGGCACTTCTGTCCAATATATCATGCAAAATATGACCTTGTCAGTCACAGATTCGTTTTATCTAAGCCTCTGGTATTTTTATTTCAATAAGAGAGATTGCCAGTTCATTTGATACCCTTTAGCACCAGTAAAGTTAAAAGTGAAAGTACTCAGAACGACAAATAAGACGAAAATGGCTGGTTTTCATTAATCTAAAGCACATTAGTAACATAAGATAAAGCAGGACAGCTCATATTTCCTCTATATACTAACTTAAATGTCATGTTACTGTAACAGAGCCACCCTGAAAAGGGAAAATGAAACTATGCTGATTACTATATTTACATATATATTTAAAAATGGCATAAATGACATAAACGCCTGATTTTAGGGTATAAACAAATGATGTAATGAAGTAAACAGAGTCAAATTCATATTGGGAATGGCTGTGACACCGGCTACGCTATTGTTCAATGGCAGAGACACCTCCAGTTAGGCCTTGAGGCCTACACCAAACCAAAAAATAAACGCAAAATTGGGACATTAATCCTTTATTCCGTTCGCCTTAATCCACAAGTTTCACAATTGAAAAGGCGTGTATACTGGTAGACCCGTTTCAGGTCATTATAACGCTGAAATTCAACACCACTCGTGCCGCCCAAACCGGCGTCAGCCTCCTCGGAGCAGCTGCCGAGACCGACGCCTGCCTAACTGAAAAAGATACACGTTGAGCCGCTGTCCCATGTCCTGCAGCAGGTTAGCAGCTTGCTGTCGGTACGAGAGCTCTTTGTCGGGATCAAGTCCCGCTCGGCGAGATGGACTGTTTTCGATTTGTTCGCGCGTGAAGTACCATTTATTGTTATTTTGCGAAGGCGAAGGGAACGAAGCCGCCATTACTGAGAAGGACAATGTTTTAAAATCTCACTGCGTCACAGGAAGCGCGTCATCGCTGGCTGGAATGCGACTGCGGCGCTGTTGGACTTAACCCATTCACGTCTGAATAGTATTAATAACATACATTAATGCAAATTTACTAATCAAAACCCTTATATTTACCCATATATATATATGAAGTAAAACTGTGTTTGACAGCAACAGCATTTCTCAGAGCAAGTTTAAGTCAGCTTATCTGCCAACTCATTTAGTTCTACTTCTCTACATGAGGATGTATTCATAAATCTGTGTTATGCTTTCAGTTTAGCATAAATGTTGTACAAATTTCATACAGAAACTCCTGTCTTAAAGATGATCTCTTTAATTACTGTAAAAATCATATAATGCAGATAATGAGTTGGAATATAGTACTATCTCTCTTCATTGTGTTTGCATCCATTGGGTGGCCAGTCAAATTGACACCATCTCTAAACAGTCTTACTGTATATTTTAAAATGGTGATATATCAAGAGTTTTATTTCTATAAATATAGAATTTTTTTTGCAATTGTACTCTTCAATACACATTAAAAAACATTATATTTCTATAGAATGGAGGTATCAGTTTTGCAAATAAACTCTTCATAGACATCCTGCTGCTGCTGTGTAATGGGCGTCTGGAGGTTTTTTTGTTTTTGCATTTTTACAGTGCAGTTTTAATCGAGACGTCCGTATTATCAATAAACAGCTGCATTTCCTCCTCTTATGTTGAATACATGGCATATTTTGTTCATATCAACGTCATTTTAGACATGCTTTATTTATTTATTTTTATTTAAAGAACAGCATATAACATTTTAACATAAATGTTAAAATTTATGAATATAATTTTTTTTAACATCTACATTTTCTTTTCGGTTTAGTTCCTTTATTAATCTGGGGTCGCCACAGCAGAATGAACCGCCAACTTATCCAGCAAATGTTTCACGCAGCGGATGCCCTTCAAGCTGCAACCCAGCACTCCCATACACTCCCATTCACACACATACACTACGGTCAGTTTAGCTTACTCAATTCACCTTTAGCGCATGTCTTAACTGTGAGGGAAACCGGAGCACCTGCAAGAAACCCACATGAACACAAGGGAGAATATGCAAACTCCACAAAACTCAAATCAGCAATTTTCTTGCTGTGAGGTAACAGCGCTATCCACTGCGCCACCAATAATATAAGTAAATTAGTTAAATAAAAACAATTTCCTCTTTTCAAGGGTCAACAGTAAAGCCAAAAAGTACATTTTCCCACAGTAATAAGAGAGGCTTAGAACACTGAAAATTGTTATTAAACATTTTGCACCTCACCCCATCAGTTGATGACAATGCCAAAATAAGTGTAAAGCCGTTTCCTCATATTCATTCATTTTCTTGTCGGCTTAGTCCCTTTATTAATTTATTAATTAATATTAATATTAATTCCTCATATTCATTACAAAAAAAAAATACAATTTACATCAATCCCACATTAAAATTTTTGTAAATTAGGTTTTGCTGGATAAAATCAGTGGAAAAGTTTGTCGTTCAGCTGTTCATAAAAAATAAAAGTTTGCTGAGAACTTTTAACTTGAAATGCCGCTAATATAATCGCTAAATGTCTTTTCATTCGTTTGTCACGTTTTTATTACTTCTAACTTAATGCGGGAATTTTTATACTCTATATTTCAAACCCAATGCCAAAATTTATAAAAAGATATTTGAAATTAAATCTTTTATATTTTGCCTTAAGTATCTTCTCAGATTTTTTAGAGGAGTAACAGCGCCATCCATCGGTGAAGCGGAGTTTCGGTCGAGAACGAAAGAGGAAAAAGTGACGATTGCGGAAGTGTTTGTTATTGTGGTTTAGCTGCTAGCACAGTGGCGTGTAATCAAATAATATGACAGCATCAAACACTAAAAACGCCAGCGCAATCCCAATCGATAAATTCAGCAATGTTCGCATCACATCAATATGGACTTTCCTACAGTCTGTGAGTAACATTAGATTCTCGGTTTGCTCACATACAGAGATGGTTCATGGAGTCGCGTCGTTGTTGTTTTTTGAGAGCACGTGGATTAAATAAGGAATATGAAATAAGTTTGTTTTATCTGAATAATAATAATAATGTGATTTTGTTGTCAGGTTGACTGGTCTGAGCCCTGGCTGATGGCTCTGCTGGCCTTTCATGTCTTCTGTTTTGCTTTCACCCTCCTGTCCTGCAAATACTACCGCATTCAGATCTGTCATTTTCTCCTGATGGGTGAGTGTTTATATTTATTTGAACCTTGTTATATTTGAATAATTATAATACATGTAGTCATTTACCCCACAGTGTAAAATAATTATTGAACATTTAAAAGAATGTACACATTTAAATGACAGACTTTTTTATTCAAAGCTGATGAAAACTAATTACTATTGTCATAAATATATGTATATATACTTTCAAAGACACACAAACACTTTATTTCTTTCTTAAAAATAGCATAAATATTTGTATTGTGTACACACACACACACACACACACACACACACACACACACACACACACACACAGAGTGAGAGACATACAGGTACACACACACACATAGAGTGAGAGACATTCAGGTACATACATTCACTAACACACTCACAAAGCTGGATAGAGGCACACATGGAGAAAGTGCGGGACATTCAGGTACACACATGCTCATACTGTCAGACACACATTCATCAACACACACATACAATCTTTGTCATAAACGCACACACACACTCGTACTTCGTATTCTCTTGCATACATGTGCGCACTTACACACAGTCAAAGACACACTTACACACACTCATACTCTCTTGAAGGGGCGGACTGGGACAGGCCAAAATCACGGTGGCAGGCCAGATCAATAATATCCAGCTGCAGGCCACCAGGTGCTCCCTATGGCTAGTCTGCCCCTGCTCTCTTGCACACATGTGCACACACAGGCATACATACACACATTTATACTGACAATTTTTGAGACAATATAATAGGTAAATAAAATAAATAAATAAATATTTTCATATTTTATACAGTAATATTTACAGTAATATCTTTGTAATATTTTTAATATAATAAAATGTATTATGATGTGACACGGTGGCTCAGTGGTTAGCACTGCCGTCTCACAGCAAGAAGGTCGCGGTTCGAGCCCCGCCTGGGTCAGTTGGCATTTCTGTGTGGAGTTTGCATGTTCTCCCCGGTTTTATGTGGGTTTCTTCCGGGTGCTCCGGTTTCCCCCACAGTCTAAAGACATGTGCCAAATGGGTAAGCTAAATTGGCCGTGGTGGATATGTGTGTATGAGTGTGTATGGATGTTTCCCAGTGATGGGTTGCAGCTGGAACGGGATCCGCTGTGTAAAACATATGTTGGATAAGTTAGCGGGTCATTCCGATGTGGCGTTTCCAGATTAATAAAGCTAAATGAAAACAAGATAAATGAATGAAAGTATTATGATGACTGATTATTTTATACATTTAAAAAGTTTGGTAGTTTATTTTCACATAAATATATCTGTTACACAGAATGGCAATGTTATATCATTTCATTCATATTTTGACATTTTATTTTCCTACATATGATTTGAAACAATAGTAGATATTTCACTCTTATTTAAATGACTTTAATGGAGTTAACAAAGGTTCGGCAGCGGGACCACGCCTCACTTTGCCTCCTTAATCTATCACCTACTCCCTAAAACTTATTTAAGGCAGACCTGCTTTCTAGCACTCAGTGGCGTAGCGGACGGGCCCGCAGGGCACGCACCGCGGGGGGGCCCCGCGTGATTAGGGGGCCCCACGTCGTCGCGATATTCAAAAATTGAAAATCCAGGAACCGCAATAATCAAACTCTTGGGAACAACTGTGGACGGAACCAAAGTTCACAGGTCTGTGTTCTCTGAACACCTCTCAAGCGGTGGACTACTTCATTCTGATTGCTTGCCGCCGAACCGCGTCATAGCCAATGAAGACGCGCCGCTGTTTCTCACCGCCGGTTCTCGTTAAAAAATGAATGACTTCTGGCTACTTTGACGCTCTCGCCGCTTTCGGTTTGTGATCGCTCCTCAGTTTGTGAAGGATTCCCCGCGTTGTCGCTCCACTCCACCTCCTTTCCCCGCACCTCAATTTGTGACATAGATATATACACTAGATATTGTATAGGGACCCTGAGCATGCGTCAATAGTAGGGATGTAACGGTATCAGAATTTCACGCTACGGTAATACCTCGGTATGAATGTCACGGTACGGTATTTATTGAATCATTTACATGAAAAAAAAAAAAAACTTTTGAAAATACTCCAAAAAAGTGCCAAAAGTGTCAATGACATACAAATTAGCCATCTATCTGTTAGCTTTGAAACAGGAACTTCAATTTTAATAACAAAAAATTATTAAACCATGTAAAAAAATAAAGTTTCAATTTAGTATTGTTGAAAACTCATCACATTTAACATTTAATCACTCACTTAGATAGAGATGGGTTTAAAGGAAAATTATCATATAACTATAATCTGGTAAAAGCTGGTATCTCTGGGTATTTACAATGTCCCCTGCAACAGAAAAAACCCTCTCATTTGGGACTGAGGATTCTGGGACAAGAGAGATATGACTTGGCCCATGTTGACAGCAGTGGGTAACGTTGTGCATTGTCTTTCCCCCACTTGAGAAGACAAACCATGAGTGAGATAGAGATCTCTTTGCGGTACAAGTCAATGTCTGCATCAATCTGAACAGTGTGCTGTGTTTCTGCAGTCCCCATGACTGTTATTAGTCGTATTCCCCAACTTGCAGGCACGTGCACACATAGGGCTCAACCTGTGCAGTGCACATGCCCTTTTTAGTCTTGGATAAAAAATGCCTTTCCAAAACGATCAAAAGTGCCCCCGCGACGCGACACAACCTCCGTCCAGTCCAGCCCTTCAGTAGGCGCTCGATAACACCTCTCTTGAGTATGCGCGCTCAACCCCCCCTCGGCGCTTTACAATACGCGCGCCACAACACAGCTGATCAGAACGCGCGCGACAGCACCGCTATTCAGCACGCGCGCGGCGACAACACCCGCTTTAGGTTCGATCATTTCCATCTTTTTTTCATCTCCGCTACTAGGAGCACACTCCATTTCCGCTTTACTGGATCTGTAGCGACAACAGACCGCAAAGGATTATGGCCACGCCGGGGCTGATGGGAAATGAAGTTTCAGCTACCTCCCGTTCGCTTCATTCGCCTGAGCAAATTTTCTCAGAAGACCTATAGTTTTACCGAGTCATGCGACTTCGGTAATATCGAAAAAAAATAATATTGCGGTATGACGGTATTTACAATACCGTTACATCCCTAGTCAATAGCGCCGCCACATTGGGACAGTGCTCCCAGGACAAAAGTCATTCAGTCGCACTAGACAATTACGTGAAGATGCGGGACTGTAGCGCTGTCTACGAGTGTAGTAACGAGCAAACAAAGAAAACAAAGCACAAAGGCAGAACATTCCATAGGTAGGATTAAGTTTTTTACGTTTTTGTATGTTCTGAAATTTGTGCTAAACAGGTAGCGTTATTGATACTAATACAGCCACTTACTGCATTCACTATAAGTCAAAGTAGCTCCAATTCGCACTAAATATTCGGCTTATGCTAGTTTTGTTGAATAAAATCGGCAAACAATGAAAAAGAAATATGACAACGAGATGCTGCGGTGCCAGAAACTTGTATTATTGTCGGCTAGTGAAGGAGTCGTTGATAATGGAGATTCATTCACAAACAAATCGCTCCCTCCATCAGTATGAGAAGTGAAAGCAGGAGAGGAGCTGTGTTTCAGGACATGATTAGATCAAATTTAACAGGGAGGGTGGATAGTACATTTCTGTACACACAAACACAAGCTTTTTGTCAGGAATGCCCATGCGGTCACTGATCCATCAATGTAAAAAAGTGATGTAAAATTATAATTTTCATAATTGAAATAAAAATAAAAATACTAACATCCAGGAAAACTCCCGATCATAGATATATGTGTATATCTCTGGCTCTGCCGCCCCCAAACCCCCCCGACCCCCTTGAAAACTGGGGGCCCCATCGGTGATCCCTGCAGGGGGGCCTCCGCATTTTGCGCTACGCCACTGCTAGCACTGTTCTTCTTGTTCTCAACCCCACCCACCAACCCTTCCTCCTTGCTTCCAATTAACAGTCCTTATAACCCTCTCTTCACTCCTAAGTTGAATCAGGGGAAAGAAAGGGTTATAAGGACTTTTAATGAATAAAATATTACAGAGACGGTACCCCCACGCTGAGTCTCTGGGAATCATCGTAGGAGGCTCGATCAACCTACCTACCTGTTCACTGTTTATCCTCTTACTTCCCTTCCCCTTCATCTCACTGTTCCCTTACCATCCCTACGCCCCTACAATAAAGTCTAGCTCAACGTGTGTATGAGTTTATAATAAGGATATGTAATATGATGTGGACACCTTTGGCATATGGTATAAATGTAATCAATATTTTGCAGTTGCGATGGTTTACAGTGCAGAATACCTGAATGAGCTGGCAGCCATGAATTGGAGGTGATTATTATTATTAATATTGTTATACATTCTCCACATCCCACCAACAATGCTAAATACATTTAGTGGTTCTACTCAATATGTCTCCTTTTTGTTCTTAGGTCTTTCTCAAAGTTCCAGTATTTTGACTCAAAAGGAATGTTCATATCTTTGGTATACTCTGTCCCGCTCTTGCTCAACACTGTTATTATTGTGGTAAGTTTAGAATATTTTTAACATTATATAATACTACAGTAGGTGGCACAATGGCTCAGTGGTTACCACTGCAAGTGTGGGTGTATTCATGCATCAAGTTTATAAGTATATAATTGCAAGTTTCAAATATGTCGTTTTGAACATCCAATAGTATACAATCACCGGCCACTTTATTAGGTACACATGTCAGACTAATGCACATTTCTAATCAGCCATTCACATGGGAGCAACTCAATGCATTTAGGCATTTAGACATGGTCAAGACGATTTGCAGCAGTTCAAGTCAAGCATCAGAATGGGGAAGAAAGGAGATTTAAGTGACTTTGAACACGGCATGGTTGTTGGTGCCAGACAGGCTGGTCTAAGTAATTCAGAAACTGCTGATCCACTGGGATTTTCATGCACAACCATCTCTAGGGTTACAGAAAATTGTCAGAAAAAGAGAAAATATCCAGTGAGAGGCAGTTCTGTGGGCACAAATGCTTTGTTGATGCCAGAGGTCTGAGGAAAATGACCAGACCTTTTTGAGATGATAGAAAGGCAACAGTATCACAAATAACTACTTGTTACAACTGAAGTATGCAGAAGAGCATCTCTGAATGACAACACATCGAACCTTGAGATGGATAGGCTACAGCAGCAGAAGACTACACCGGGTGGCACTTTTGTCAGCTGAGAACAGGAAACTGAGGCTACAATTCACAAAGGCTCTCCAAAACTGGAAAATAGAAGTTTGTAAAAACGTTGCCTGGTCTGAAGAGTCTCTATCTGCTGCAATGTTAGGGTCAGAATTTGGCGTCAACATCATAAAAGCATGGATCCATCCTGCCTTGTATCAACGGTTCAGGCTGGTGGTCGTGGTGTAATGGTGTGGAGATATTTTCTTGGCACACTTTGGGCCCGTTAGTACCAATTGAGCATCGTGTCAATGCCACAGCCTACCTGAGTATTGTTGCTGACCATGTCCATCCCTTTATGAACACAGTGTACCCATCTTCTGATGGCTACTTCCAGCAAGATAATGCGCCATGACAAAGCGCAAATCATCTCAGACATGTTTCTAGAACATGACTAGTTTACTGTACTCTGATGGCCTCCACAGTCACCAGTTCTCAATCCAATATTGACCTATGAGATGTGGTGGAACGGGAGATTCACATCATGGATGTGCAGCTGAGAAATCTGCAGCAACTGCTTGATCCTATCCAGTCAATATGGACCAAAATCTCTTTGGAATATTTTTAATACCTTGTTGAATAAATGGCAAAACGTATTAAGGCAGTTCTGAAGGCAAAAAGTGGTTACAACCGGCTACTAGTAAGGTGTACCTAATAAAGTGGCCGGTAAGTGTATGTGTGAGTAAACTTCTAGGTGTATATGCATGTGGGGATACGCAAAGTTTTATTTAAATTCTACATGGCGTCTCATATCATTTGACAGTTTTATTTGAACTATTCTGTGTTTAATTTCAACTCAATGTCTGTGCTTTTAGGCTGTTTGGGTATGGAGGACCTTCTCAACCATGACAGAACTTAAGATATTGCAATTAAAGAGAAAAGCGGCCAGAGAGAACCACAAGAAAACACAATAGAAGGCATGAACAGAACATGCACCATTTCCTAATGGACTAATAATAATAATGGTCAGTGGTGGAGGGCATGTACTGCATATGGGCTGATTATAAGGAAAACTCTTGTGGCAGAGGGTCTTGAATGTTTATTTCAGACTGCTGATGGACAATTACTATACCTGCTATAGCAAAAACTCCATCAAATGCCTGATCTGGTCAAAAACATACTGGACAAAGGCATCACCTGTATTGCGCAGGCATTTTGTGTATGTGTACTATAGATAGACCATTCCAGTGCTTAATGCTTTTTTTTCATTGATTGGAGTGTTGGACATGAAAATGGTGTATTTATGTCAATAAATTGAATGTTGTCATTTTTGTATAGATACCAGTGTGATTGTTTGGGTGTTTTTGTTTTCTACATTACTAAGTTAAATCATCTGAGACCAACATTAGTTTGAATTTAAACCTTGTTTACATTTATAAATGGTCTCCAAACACTTATAAAATTGGTTGTTTATCTTAGAGACTTAAATGAAGCTTTTCTTACTCCTCTATTACCCCAAAACTCTTGAAGCTTCAAAAACGTCTTAAAAGTGATGTATGTGAATGGAGTGCACTTATTAAAGTATTCTATAGAGACACAATTACTTTTTACAGATGCACATTTTAGCGAGAGGGATCTGGGCTCTGGAAAGAGGTAATATCCAGTGAGCAGCAGTTCTGTGGGTGCAAATGTCTTGTTGATGTCAGAGGAGAATGGCCAGACTGGTTCGAGCCTATGAAAGGCAACAGTAACTCAAATAACCACTCATTACAACAGAGGTCTGCAGAAGAGAATCTCTGAATGCACAACACGTCTAACCTTGAGGCAGATGGGCTACAGCAGTGGTCACCAAACTTGTTCCTGGAGGGCCGGTGTCCTGCAGATTTTAGCTCCAACCCTAATCAAACACACCTGAGCAAGCTGATCAAGGTCTTACTGGGTATACTTGAAACATCCAGGCAGGTGTGTTGAGGCAAGATGGAGCTAAACCCTGCAGGGACATCGGCCCTCCAGGACCAGGATTGGTGACCCCTGGGCTACAGCAGCAGAAGACCCCACCGGGTGCCATTTCTGTCAGCTAAGAACAGGAAATTGAGGCTAAACATAATAATGTCAATAGTATTTCTCCCAGACCAATCATTTCGCTTCATATGACCTTAATGTATTATCATGAGCCACATGTGTTAAATTTGTATTGCCTGTAGGTGTTTTTTTTTTTTACTCTTAAAGTGGCAGTAGACATTGACTTGCATTGTAATTTAATAATTACCAAAGGCTAAAAATCAAATCTTCTTTACTGTTCAAATGAAAAAGGCACTTCGGATGACCAAACCATAAAGTTTCTATAATTTAAATACAAAAAAACACATTTAGAAGATTTCCAAAAGTGCTAAAGCAAGCTGGAGGATTTATATAAACATCAGGCATCAGTCATATGGCTGCTACTAAACATTTTATTAAAAATACTTTTGACTTTTTTTTTTTTTTTTTTATTCCTGGAGGGCCGCAGCTCTGCAGTTTAGCTCCAACCACCTCAAACTCACACCTAACATTAAGATGTTGACAAATGTCACTGTCCAGTGAAAATGTATTATTTTTGTAAATAAAAAACATTGAACTCCAATTGAAATACAATATAAAATGTAAAAAGAGTATATAATAATACGATTAATTTTTTCTTTATATTTTTAAAACATTATTAAATTAGAAAGTTACTATGGCAACTTTAACGTAATACAGTTTGGTATATTTAGCTTCGCCCACCACCCTTAATCAAGTTTGATTTCTGGCCCTTCATAAAACAGTTTGGGCACCCTGCTTTAAACCATAGGTCTCAAACTTGATACCAGGAGGTCCGCAGCTCTGCATAGTTTAGCTCCATCCACCTCCAACTCGCACCTGCTTAATAGTCTCTAGTAATCTTCAACACCTTGATTAGTTGGATCAGCTGTGTTTGATTAAGGTTGGAGCAAAACTATGCAGAGCTGCGGCCCTTCGGGAATCCAGTTTGAGACCTATGCTTTAAACGTTTCATTGAAATGTCGTCATTTAACCAGTAGAGGGGGCAGTACATCAATTCCCGAAGGCTTAGCAAAGTCCATAAATGATGCAGCGCACCCAATATGGTCAGAGTTACAAGCATGCATGCATAAACAGACTATTATAACTACTCTGAAGAGTTCAGGATAAACGGAGCAGATGCTCAAAATGCAAAGCTAATCATTATGAACATTTTGACTTTGGAACGGTGCTGACTTGATGCAGCTGTCAAGCTTACACACTATTGAAACCTGCACTTTATAAAGAGCTTGTTTTACTTAGATCTGTGTTGCTTTTATGCAGCTCTGCTTTCATGAAGCACTATGCTTTGGGAGGAATGTTGTTTAATTTAACTCAATTTGGACAAGACGACAATGATGCTTTGACTTGACTAGACCTGACATTATTCCTGTTGTTTTATTTAACTCAATATGGACAAGAAGACAATAATGCTTTGACTTGACTAGACCTGACATTACTCCTCTTTCTCTCTCAACAGCAAAGCGAACACAGCTGAAATGCAGCTGTGAATTCCGAGAAAAGCATTGTGTTTTATATAGGTGTGATATATGAAGTTACATGATACTCTTTCATGGAAAGCTGTGATGCTAACAATCTATCTCGAGGGCTTTTGAGATTGACAGTTCAAGCATTTTTATACGAGTTAGCTGTGGTCCGCTCTTTGTTTCTCTACTTCATCTGATTTTCCTGCCAATACGATGGCCAAACCATCAGAAACAGGTGCTTTCTGCTCTCCTGGAAGGGCTTTCTGCTTTCTGGGGACTCATGGGAAGTACTGAGATGTCAAAGGCGTGCACTTAAGAGGAAGATAAATTCGTTTTAGGATGTGAGAGGATTTGTGGCGCGCTGGCACAGTGTGCATCCAGTGCAAGTGTCTGTTGTTTTGTTTTGAAAACCCCTGTATTTCACTGCCTTCATGGTGGAAATGTAAGCCAAGGCTATTAAAACTGACTTGAGAAGAACTAGGAACAAAAAAAAAAAACTGAATGAGAAAAGGCTGACGATCTGACAGTATAATTTATGATAAGATCTAGGTGCATCTTTGTTCTTTAATCTTAAGCTTCATTCGAACATGATGATAATATCAAACTATCACTCTCCCACAGATTTTCTCCACAGCTGTTTTGAAGGATCTCACATGCATCATCTGTAAGCGATCCCACCACAAACTCCTGGCGCTTACCACTTGCCAAGAAAGCGAGTTAAATCTACAAAGAAATAATAAATATTTTCACATTCCACTTTTATATTTCTGTCATCTTCACACTTTTGTGACGCCTCCCCACCGTGACAAATAAACTGCCCCTACAGTCAATTAATCATTTATTTAAAAAGCCCTTTAAAACTGTGAAGGCTCACCAAAGTGCTGTGCAAAAAGGTTGCAATGACAATATCAATAAATTAAAACACATGAACTGTAATATCTGTAAAAAACGAATGCCTGTGAGAATATACGCATCTTGAGACGCGATTTAAACATCTGCAAAGAAGTCAGAACACTTCAAAATGCTTTTCTTTCTTAGATTTTTTTGTCTTGTTTCTAGTCCAAATATTAAAAAATTCTTAAATCAAGAAGCATTTTCTAAACAAGCAAAATATATTGCCTTGTTTTCAGATATTATATGCCAAAATTAAGTGAGTTTTTCCTTAAAACAAGCAAAATAATCAGCCAATGGGGTAAGCAAAATAATCTTGTTATTTCTTTTGACATGAGATTATTTTGCTTGTTTTAAGGAAAATCTCACTTAATTTTGGCATATTATTTCTGAAAACAAGACAATACGTTTTGCTTGTTTAGAAAATGCTTCTTGATTTAAGAATTTTTAGATATTTGAACTAGAAACAAGACAAAAAATCTCAGCAAGAAAAGCATTTTTTGCATTGAAGAACGCGAATGTGAAAGCAAGTTTATTTCACAATCCAAAATTTAAGGTAAAATACGAAAGAGATAAACAAAATTTATCATAATATCTATTGCAGAGTATCTTCTTTTCTTATAGTGTCTGAAATAGTTTGTTCAGGATCTGCCTTTTTTCCAAACCCTGTCTTTCTGAGTGTCTACTTTGCTCAGGGATTGGTTAGCTGACTCAGTCTGTTGTGATCAGTGGTGGAACGAGTACAGAGAATTCATATTCAAGTAAAAGAACCATTACTTGCCCAAAAAATGTAGCGCAAGTACACTACCTGACAAAAGTCTTGATGTCGATTTCAGTTGTAAGAGCAACAAATAATAACTTGACTTGTAGTTGTTAATTTGGATAAGTGGCAGAAGGTAGATTTTTCAGAAGAATCATCTGTTGAACTGCATCCCAATCATCACACATACTGCAGAAGTCCTAATGGAACCCGCATGGACCCAAGATTCTCACAGTTATCAGTCAAGTTTGGTGAAGGAAAAACCATGGTTTGGGGTTACATTTAGTATGGGGGTGTGCGAGAGATGATAACATCAAACCACAAGGAGAGGGCTCCTCATACTTCAGCCTCCACATCAAAGTTCCTGAAAGCATAGAAGGTCAAGGTGCTCCAGGATTGGCCAGCCCAGCCACCGGACATGAACATTATTGAGCATGTCTGGGGTAAGATGGAGGAGGAGGCATTGAAGACGAATCCAAAGAATCTTGATGAACTCTGGGAGTCCTGCTAGAACGCTTTCTTTGCCATTCCAGATGACTTTATTATTAAGTGATTTGAGTCATTGCAGAGATGTATGGATGCAGTCGTTCAAGCTTATGGGAGTCATACACAATATCAATTATTTTTCCACTGCACCAAGACTTTATATTCTATACTGTACATTATTACTGTTAAGTGACAAGACTGTTGTCTAAGCAATGTCAGACTTTACTGTCCTAATTAAAAATCAAGGCATGATCATATTTTATTTGGTAAAATAAGCGCAATCTAGAGGCCTTTGCCTTTCATATAAGCCACTTCTGATACCAAATGGACTACTAGAGGTCAAGTTATTATTTGGTTTGCCTAAAACTTGGATAGGCAACAAGACTTTTGTCAGGTAGTGTTAAGTAACAGTATTTGTTGTAAATAATACTCAAAGTAAGAGTAAAAAGTAGCCCATTTGAAGCGTTTACATGCAATTTCTGCCTGTGTGTGAAAACGTAACATTCTGTAGTGGATTTAGTGATTGTGTAAGGCCATTTGGCCGTTTCGGTCATCATACAGTAAAAATCCCTCATCCTTTCTCCAGTGACATCTAAACAGTCACAGGATCATTGCATGTAAATATTTGCGACATCTTCTTGGAC